AGCTTGTATAAATTATTTAAAATACAAATAGAAACCAATGTATTATCTCAATTGATCTTGTTATTTTAGACTGACCGGAGGCCGTATTTCTACACAACGCTGTATTAATGCAACTGACAAACCAATTCCACTATCAGCCATTGCCGACTTTCCATTGATAATAGGTACATTGGGGGGAATCTGACGGTCGTTGGCGATTATCTCTCACGACTGACCGACCGACCTACGAAGATGCCCGTCGGCTTCGCAAAACGGCAACAAGACGTGGTCCAATGGCTAACACTTACTGGCCCTCTCGACAAATCGCTGCTAGACCACAACATCTAAGCTATAAACAATCTTTGGATCGACGTCTCGCAACAGATATGAGCCCGTTTGACGATTTTTTTATCCGTCACAGGGACCATGTCCTCACTCTCTGCTGCACTAAGGAAGGCTCTGGAGCTTACGGCCAAGATGTTTATGCAGATACAACACACGCGCTGCTGGATGAACTCGCCGTTGGCTGACATCAATGGATTCCTCCACAATCGCGTGCTGGATGTGCCATTCACATCCTTGTGGCGTACGTTCCCTTCTGATTATCGCAGTTTAGTTCTCAGTCTACTTGTGTCTCGTCCAATGCAAGTCTCTAGTCTTACTTCGTCCAGAGGACACATACCTACAATGGGGAAAGCGCATCGTGGGTAAGCCACCTTGGCAATACATACTCACTCATTTCGTACACAATACTTTGTACCACTTCACCCAAATAGTCAATACTTCAGCCTCTTTCAGATACAGTGGTACCTGAAGACATGCTCAGATGTTCCGCACCTCACCCTGTTTTCCCTTCGGATCAACACGATTTCATCACTTACGCGGATGTACGCATTGACCCAGAACATATATATACCCTCACTGGATCCGACAACGATTCGTGACGACAAAGTACACTGGACGGAGATTTAGGACCGGACCAGAGGACCGGACCAGAGGACCGGACCTACATAGGTAGAATATTTCAAAACCGGACCAGGGAACCGGACCAGATAGTGGAATACAAAGCTTAGTGTGAGAGAAGGATGACTCATCGGGCGACATCATAATTTAGTAGCTGGGAGACCAAAACTATAGATACGGGTATTTTCACAATCACCCGTTGTCAGAGAAAATATCGTCCCAGTGGGAACGTGATTGACAAATACAACAGGCGCGCCGTTCATAGAAAATAACACAACAGGCGCGCCGTTCATAACGGCACTCCTGACTAAGTTCACTTATTTCAGACATGACACTCTTTACTAAGCGTTACTCGGCTTTGACTATAATGGTCCTGGGCATACCAGTGGACTTCTCTGTGTTTTTGGGTTTTTCTTTAACGCACTTGTAATGGTTTTAGGAGTACTTGAAATAAAGACTGTTTATTAAAATAGTTCAAAGTAAATAACACGAAAAGTAGGTTAGCCTCCAACTCCGGTATAGCATGACTTAAGTTATAAATGTAAGAAAAGAGGCTCTAGCTAAGTGGCACCCGTGTGCTATATAGAGTAACATCCTCAACCGTCATCGGGTTGTTTATCTAGTGTTTTCTACAAAAGCTACCTTAAGCATCCATGTCTTTAGACAAAGTGGGCAGTTGGCTTTTAGGTCTACAATATTTGATATTCAATAAATGGATATAATTGGCTACTTAAAACAAAAACAAACAAACAAAAAAGTCACGTTCTGTCCCCAGGTAGGTGTGGCAGGCCCAAAGGGGTCGGTCCGAGGCTAATAAGTATTTGATTACAAATATGGTTTTAATATAACTCTATCTTTTTAGCTACAAGCTTATAAAAACCATTGTATCCATCTTTTAAAGGTGAACTAATTGCAACCTTCAGCCTTTGTAATGTGAGGCATCACGCACAGTATCTTGCAGAGGGAAATTACTGATTCATTTAACGGTAAGATTTAAATCAACTTAACATATAACGATTATAAGTACTATTTAGAATAGTTAGCAAAAACCTCTACTATAAGACAAAGCCATCCAGGATACTAATATCCTTATGTATTTAAAATAAAATAAAATTTATAGCTTCTACTCCGAAGCCCCTCATCAGCTATAAGCCGCGACTGTAGTATAGCCTAAATACCATTGTGGGGACAGAGTGAGAAAAAGAAGCAGGATGCGGTTTAAGATCTTAAGTAATAAAATGTGTAAATACTTCACTTTTGTGGGTCTATATTTGCTCGCTTGGCATTTCCGGGTTCACCCGTTTGCCGATTTATTCGCTTACGTGTCATGGACTAAGGAAGTTTCTCTCTGTAGAAAGGTGATACCGGGATAAGAATCATTGGCAATCTTATCAGCTTGAGGAAACAGTTTGTCTTTATATTCATGGACTTTATGTTGGCGTTCACGCCGTCACTTATTGATACCCTAACCGATGGCATAAGGTAATATACCTCATTGTCATAAAACAATGCCGGTGCAATTCCGTTAACGGATCCTATATACAAGATTTTCTTGAATTCATGTTGTTCAAGGGGTGTAGTATCGTCTTATGTACGACAGAGTATTATCTGGTCATTCGGTATACGAAATATTGTATTTATTACGCTTGACTCATTTATATTATCAATTTTATAGGTATCTGACTTTTCGTCATGAACTGAGATTATATAAGGAACTATACAACAAGGATATAACTTACTAGTGTCCGAATTTATCTGTTCTTTGTTTTTTAAAAACATAATCTCCCTTCATTGAAAAATCTACCTGATCAGCAAACAAATTCCTCTGACGGTACTCGAAACCGCGACTTCATGCTTCGTAGGCGTGCGCTCTACCAACTGAGCTACAGAAGATGACGACAGTATAAAACATAAATAATTATTTCAACATAAATATTTCAATCATTCCATGGTCGAAATTGATGAATCTCACTATTCTGATGTATCAACGAATACAAAATACAAATACAAATATTCTCATTGAATCAGAATTTCGATGATGTACCAGTTGCATCAGTCAATTCTTGTCACCCCTGTGCACGTATTTGTAAATGAAGACATGTAAATGAAGACAACTAGTAAATACAATACCACGCGCGCATGGCTGACTATAAATTGCAAGCATCTTACGTGATCAAATATCCAACTGCATATCACTGAACACAACGCCAGACCACTCACCCAACTTCATCCGGCAACTGAATTATATAGAACAACATAGACGAGATGACTAAGCCACTTCGGTGTTGAGTACAATCCACCGAAAATGACTATAGACTTCTCCTAGAATCAATTTGAAAATAGGTATATACAGTTGTATATATCAACCTGTTACATGAACAGTGCACCTTGTATTGTACATAGCTTCTCAACTAACATATGCGGTAAGAGCCACCTCATGCAAAACATACAAGACA